AATAATAACTATTTCATTATATATTACAATATAATAGTAAAGTGCATGATAAACATAATGACTTGCATCATCCTGAAACCATCCCCTCCACCCCAGTTCATGGGAAAATTGTCTTCCATGAAACCAGTCCCTGATGCCAAAAAGGTTGGGACTGCTGGAATAGGGAATTCAGCAGCACATATGACAAAGACATGCAGATTTTACAAAATTCATTCAAAAAAGTTGCTAAACAAACAACAGTAAATCCCAGGAAGTGAGGAGAGGAAGGATCTGATTCTCAGAACTGAAATTGCCACATTGATTTATTTTAAATATCCAGTTTTCAACAACAACAACAGAAAGTATGAAACATGCAAAGAAAAAAAAATATGACCTATATACAGGAGAAGAAACAATCCATAGAAACTATCCCTGCAACTTACCGAATAAATATATTAAAACAGCTATTTTAAATAGGTTCCAAGATCAAAAAGAAACTAATATAAAGAACTAAAGGAGAGTATGAGAACAAAGCCTTACTAAATAGATAATGTCAATAAAGAATCTGTTGTTTTGAAAAGCACCAGTAGATGTCTTAGAGTTGAAAAGTGCAATAACCAAAATAAAAAATTCATTGGAGGAGGATCTCAGTATCAGATAGGAGCAGGCAGATGAAAGAATCAGTGAATATAGGTCCATTGACAGCATCTAGCCTGAGGAAAAGAAAGAAAGAGCAATGAAGAAAAACGAACAAAACCTCAGAGACCTGTAAACAACAGTCAAGTGTGCCAACATAAGAATTTTGGGAGTCTCAGAAGAGGAGAGAGAGAAAGGGAAAGAAAAATATTTGAACAAATAATGGCAAAAAACTTCCCAAATTTAGTTAACAACATTAACCTACATATTTAAGAAGCTCATGAACTCTTAAGTAGCATCTGGATTTAAGTCTGTCACTTTGTTTACTATTTATTCTATTTGTTCATTCATTCGTTATTCCTCTTTTCTAGTCTTGTTTTGAGTTATTAGCTTTTCTTTTTATTCCATTTTTATTTCCTTTTTTGTTATAAGTTTTTGTTTTATATTTTAGTGAGATTATATTTTTAACTTATCAGTTTACCTTAAATTATACTATTTTATTTATAAATGCTTTATAGCAGTATAATTTCATTTACTTCCTGTCCTTTGTGCTATTGTTTTATATATTTCACTCCTACATCTGTTATAAACCATACTATACATTATTATTACATTTGCTTTAAAAAGCAAATTATCTTTTTTAAAAAAGAAAACAGAAAAATAATCTTCCATGTTCGTGTTTCTTATTTCTAGTACTTTTCATTTCTTTCTATAGATCCAAATTTCCATCTTACGTTGATCCCTTTCAGCCTGAAGAACTTCACATTTTTCATAGTGCAAAACCTCTGGTGACAATTTATTTCAGATTTTGTTCATCTGAAAATATATTTTGCTGCCATTTTGATGTATGTTTTTGATAAATTAGAATCCTAGGTTGACTGGGTTTTTTTTCTTTCAGCACTTTAAAGACATTTCATTCCATTGTCTTCTGTTGTTATTTTCAGCAGTTTGACTATTCCTATTTTTTCTTTTTTTTTTGAGTTGGAGTCTCACTCTGTTGCCCAGACTGGAGTGCAGTGGCCGCTCCCGGCCACCGCAGCCTCGACCTGCTGGGCTCCAGCGTTCCTTACGCCTCAGCCTTCCGAGTAGCCGGAATTACAGGCACGCGCTACCATGCCCAGCTGAGTTTTTAATTTATTGTAGAGATGCGGTCTCGCCAAGTCGAACCTGCGGGCTCAGGCAATCCACTCACCTCAGCCTCCCAAAGCGCGAGATTATAGGCTGAGCCTCCGAGCCCGGCCCTGTTTTTTCTTTATGGAAAAGTATAATTTTTAGCTTACCCTGTTATTTTCTTACTATAACAGGAAGCAGATCCCTACTTTCCCCCCAATATTCATTCTAAATGTTTTGTTTTCCCTTAGCAATCTAACTCTTGATTAGGAAAAAGAATGCCAGCAATCCTACATCAGTTTAGTTAAATGGTCAATGGCTACACTTAGGAGGAAGGAGAACCTGAAAGTTGGTAAAAAAAAAATAATAATTTTTCAGTTATGTTTACTGTTCTGACCATAGCTTTTATATTGTTAAAAGGTAAAAGTATATTATTCTTGAATATTTTAGAACATATTGAGTTCACAACCATCCTGCTTTTCTACTGAATATCATGAGGCAAGTTGGTGTCATTCTATTGAGGAAACAGATAGGAAAATTTGAAAAATTAATTTAACGACTGACTGTCAGGATGTGAGATATTTAGAAAAAAAGAACGTGTTCTGATGAATTGAGAAATGCTCAGAATGTTTTCTTACATTTATTATAGATATGAAGGAAGTAAAGGGTTAAGCCACAGAAATAATGAAAATGTTGAGATTCTAAGAGGCCATAAGATGAGACTCTTAATCTGATTGTTAGGGTTTTCCCACAGAGTATGTTAGAGTTTTCTCCCTGTACAATAATCTTTCTCTAACTTGTCAGTTCAATCAGCTAATCAGTAAGTTTGGTGAAGAGAAGAATTATTTCGGACATAATTAAATTTGGTTACATTTTAAAACTTAATTACTGGGCAGGACTGAATAAACCTAGTATTTTGGTGTCAGGATATGTACTTAGTAGAGAAAAAAGAGAAACTGGACCAAATACAAGTATGAACTTTGACACAACATAAAATCATCATTTACATGTCTAACACACCATACTAATACAATTTTATATATGCAAATTAAATCTCTGTACGTTTACTCACATCTAACTTTTATTACTAACTTCTAGGCAAATTATAAACTTAGCAAGGTAGAATAAATTTATTTCTTATGCAAAGGGTTAATATTCAGGTTTAGAAGACATTCTAAGGTTGTTGACCATTCATTATTTCAATCATTAGGTGATAGATATTCACATAAGATAATCTGTGATTCTTTTTTATACTATGACTCTTGATAAATTTAATTTAAAATTAATCAACGTGATTATCTAGTACCAATTAATTATTCCTAATGGAGTGCAAGCTCCATGAGTGCCCCATTATCTAGCTTGTTTGCTGTTATGCCCCTGGTGTTTCCTCTAGTTCTTGTTTTATGGTAGGAACTTGACTAGTATTTCTTGAAAAAAATGAATGAATACAATATGAACAAAAGAACACTGGGCTATTGAATTTTTTAATTTAATTATTTCATTGTTATCCAGGCATAAACTAATGTCTTTTTTAAATGCTTTAGAAAAAGTTCCTACTGCTTTCCTTTAAGTTATAGAATAAACTGGGAAATGCTAATCCCATAATTCCATAATTCTACATAAATGATCAAATAAAATTTCAAGATAGCTCTATCTTTCAAATTATAGACCATCCCAGGGGCTCATCTGTATTTAGTGCAAATGCTCAATAGAAGAACATAAATACAATTTTTTTCAGGAACTTACTAGTCCTAGACAATGTTCTCTGTGTGGTAGTATGCCTTCACAGTGACTTAAGTGGATGCCTCAGTGAAATGAAACAGTAGGAATTCACAATAAGACTTTAGTGTGATTATATGTAATTTCAGGTACCTTGGAAATAATATTTGGATTTGGACTGATTTATTGAATCTTAGAATTCAATGCCATTCTGAGCCTGCCATTGGAATTGTGATTTTATCTGAATCCATCACATGTACAGGTCTTGTCCAAAACCAATAAATCACTATCAAGCTGTCTAGGCATCTGTACAGATTAAATCAAGATTCTGGCCAGGCGTGGTGGCTCAAGTCTGTAATCCCAGCACTTTGGGAGGCCGAGGCAAGAAGATTGCCTGAACCCAGGGGTCCGAGACCAGCCTGGGCAACTTGGTGAGACCTGGTTTCTACAATAAATCAAAAAATAAGCAGGGCATGGTAGCACGTGCCTGTAGTTCCAGCTACTTGGAAGGCTGAGGCAGAAGGATCACCTGAGTCCAGCAGGTCGAAGCTGCAGTGGCTGTTAGCATGCCATGCACTCCAGCCTGGGAGAAAAAAAAAATCAAGATTCCAACATAAAATAATTTGAATACTAAAAGGAAATCTGCCATTTTATTTAATCTAGGTTTTAAAAGCATCAATCCAGTACATTTGTTCAAGTGAAAAATTTTTAGAAACACCTGAAATTACAAATCCCCTGTGGACCACCTGTCACGTTCACTGTGCAGGACTTAGGTTTTTATGCTTAGCTGATAATTTCTTACATGGAAATAATGCATTTTTATTTACTTACATGTTAAAGGCTTGTATTTAAAGGTTGGAGTGCAGTAGCAATCACAGCTCACCGCAATCTTGAATTCCTGGGCTCAAGCAGCCCTCCTGCCTCAGCCTCCTGAGTAGCTGGGCCTACAGGTGCATACCACCGTGCCCTGCTAATTTTCTGATTTGTAGAGACGAGGTCTCGCCAAGTTGTCCAGGCTGGTCTCGAACCCCTGGACTCAGGCAATCCTCTCGCCTCCACCTCCCAAAGTGCTGGGATTAGTGTGTGGAACTGCTAATTTAGACAATCAATAATCCTGTGATCAAATCTCTAATAAAGACAAATTCATCACATTGACCTATTTTCACTTATTGATAACATCTGATTTTTTTCTTTTTTTTGTATCCATGTAACCTAAATGATAATGTCTAATTTTAAAAGTGACTGCTAAACTGTATTTATCTCAAATAACTTTCACTGTTCTCTAGTTGCAGAGTATCTTGGAATATCTTGTTTAGTTTTAGAAATGCTTAACTAGTTTTAAATTCTTAGCATACTGTATCATATTTGATGGGGTGTTAAAATACCTTTTGCTATTTTATTTGCCTTTATTTCTTTGAACTACTTTCATAGAAGAGTTTTTGAAAGAAGCTGTCAACAAAAATTTGGGCCTCCTCACAGAGCAAAACCTTAGGAATACCATTCACTGCTTTGTATTTAAAAGCTCACATTTAAAAAAAAAATTTGTTCAATGTTAGATTTCAGATTGCGGTTAATCTGAGCATGGAACGCTATGCCTTGGTATTCGGAATCAACACATTCATTGCCTTGGTAATTCAGACCATCATGACTGTGACTGTGGTTGACAGCCAAGGATTAGGGCTTCCTGTCAACATTCAGGTACGTACATTGATACAGAGGTCTATTTTCAAAACTACACACACACACACACACACACACACACACACACACACACACATATACACAAATACATACATGTGTATACGTCTTTTAAAATCAGATTTATTGATATATTATTCACATGCAGTAATTTCACTTATTTTTCTCTTTTGAGTTGAGATCTCACTCTGTCACCCAGACTGGAATGTAATGGCACAATAACGGCTCACCACCTTGACTCTCTGGGCTAAGCAATCCTGCCACCTCAACCTCCCAAGGAGCTGGGATTATAGGCACATGCCACTATGCCTAACTAATTTTTTTTTTTTTTTTTGCGTTGGAGTCTCACTCTATCACCCAGACTGGAATGCAGTGGCCACTCCCGGCCACCGCAGCCTCGACCTGCTGGGCTCCGGCGATCCTTCCGCCTCAGCCTTCCAAGTAGCTGGAACTACAGAAGCACGCTACCACGCCCAGCTCATTTTGATTTATTGTAGAGATGAGGTCTTGCCAAGTTGCCCAGGCGGGTCTCGAACCTGCCGGCTCAGGCAATCCACTCACCTTACCCTCCCAAAGGCGCAGGATTACAGGCTGAGCCACCGAGCCCGGCTTTTTTTGTAGAGACGAGGTCTCACTATGTTGCCCAGGCTGGTCTTGAACTCCTGACCTCAAGCAATTCTCTGATATAAAATAATTTTCTCATATAAAATAATTTCTGAGGGAATCTTGTTTACAAAAATAGATGAAATTCTCAAGTCTGAGTTTAGGAAGGAGTTGGAGGGGGTAGGAAAATAATCACACAACATCTCAAAAAATGTTAATTTTAGAAATAATTCTTTTTTGAATTTTTTTATTTTAAAGACATAGGGTACAATTCAGGATTAAGTATAGAAAATGTTCATTATGCAGGTACCCTTGTTGATGAGGTGTGCCCCGCCCCCGCAGATTCCCAATACTGTCAATCCTTTTCTTACAGTATTACGATAATTGTTCAAGGAAAAAGAATTCTTAAATTAGGTAGATGAAGTAATAACACCCCACAAGTTTCATGACAGAACACCCAACTATTAGTTACCTGTTACCAGCTGTCTCCATCCTTCTCACCATCCCCCAGTTCTACCCCCTAATTTGCAGAGATAGCTTATGGAATGAGGAGCAGATTGCATGAGCATAATTTTTTTGTGGGGGTGGAGGGATTGGAGTCTCATTCTGTCACCCAGGCTGGAGTGCAGTGGTGTGATGACGGCTCACCACAGCCTCAACTTCCTGGGCTCAGGCAATCCTTCCATCTCAGCATCCTGGGTAGCTGGGACTATAGACGTGTACCACCAAACCTGGCTAATTTCTTGATTTTTTTTTTTTGTAGAGATGAGGTCTTGCTGTATTGTGCAGGCTGCTCTTGAACTCCTGGGCTCAAGTAATATGCCCACCTACGCCTCCCAAAGTGCTGAGATTACAGGCATAATCTCAAAAAAAATGAGCCACTGCACCATACCAGTCTTGAGGCTTAAGACATGAGCAGCAACTCTTGCCACCCAGTTTGGGGAGTACACTGGAAAAAGAGAAGGGAAAATCCAGTGGTGCAAAGTGGCCCTTTGATGTCACAAGAACCGCAGTTGCTGTGCTGCTTTGTCTTTGGCATCCTCACTGGAAGAGGCACAGGGATCTTGCCCAGTACTAGTGGCCGGTAGCGTTGCACTCAGATGCTCTGGGAACAACTGATGGCCCGTGATTTCACCCTCCATTAGATTTCCCAGCTGGAATAACTGGTACTTTAGGCTACCTTTAATTAAATAAAAGTTAGAATCATGAAAATGGAGTTTTAGTTGCAACCCCAGAGGGATTAGTAAGAAAAAGGGCACTCTACATGGAAAGATTACCTCATAAAAAGTCAAACGATGATGCTATTATTTTAAGTGCAGGCAATGGGGATGCATTTGGATTGTGGACAATCTCATATCAAAATGGATATTTTTAAGTGTGTGTAGAGCATGTGATATTTACAGCCCAGACAACTCAGATGAGCATTTTAACTTCATATTCATGAGCTCAAACACAGGATGTGTGTAGTCTGTCAGCCTTAAGTTCCACTATTTCACAAATAGTTTGGTGTCTTAATTCAAAGAATAGCTGGAGTTGAAAGCCACATTTTTTTTTTTTAGCAAGTCAGAGTTTAATAGAAGATAGGAAAGTTCTCAGTAGTGAGAGGGGACCCAAAAGTGGGTTGCCCTAAAGCCACATTTTTTATTACCAAGCAAAATAACTACTTACATGAATTTTCTGTGCACTTGATCATTCAGACATTGCCTTGTTTTCTTACTTTTCTATCTTAATAGAGATGGGCTTCATGCATTTACCTTAGGGGAAATGGGACTGAGGGGTGGAGCTTAGAATAGAGGGTATCATAACTTGAATGTGGTTTGTCCCAACGAAAACTTATTCCAAGGCTTGATCCCCAATGTGTGGTGTTGGGAGTTGGTGTCTTTAAGAGGTGATTGGGTCATTAAGAGGGATTATGCTTTAATGAGCATGAGTTCTCACTCTCTTGAAACTAGGTTAGTTTGGTCATGAATTTTTATAAGCAAGGCTACCTCTCTTGTTTGGTCTCTTTGTGTGTGCCTGCTTACCCTTCCACTTCTGTAACATGTTAGGACACAGCACTGTCTCACCAAGAGACAGCCAGATGCAGTTGCCCAGTCTTGGACCTCCCATCCTCCAGAAGCATGAGCTACATAAGCCTCTTTCCTTTATAAATTTCCCAGTCTCTGGTATTCTGTTATAGCAACAGAAAATGGGCTAAGACAGGGACTTCAGGGTTGTTTGAAATGTAAACAAATTTAAATATGTTTTTAAAAAATATTATATTCGGCCGGGCTTGGTGGCTCAGCCTGTAATCCCAGCACTTTGGGAGTCGAGGTGAGTGGATTGCCTGACCCCCAGATTCGAGACCAGCCCAGGCAAGACCTCGTCTCTACAATAAATTAAAAAGTTAGCTGGGCATGGTAGCCTGTGCCTGTAGTTCCAGCTACTTGGAAGGCTGAGGTGGAAGGATCACCAGAGCCCAGTGGGTCAACACTGAGATGACCTGGAGCATGCCACTGCACTCCAGCCTGGGCGACAGAGTGAGACTCCAACTCAAAAAAAAAAAAAAAAAAATTAAATTAATAAAAGCTAGCTGGGCTCAGTGGCTCAGCCTGTAATCCCGTGCCTTTAGGAGGCTGAGGTGAGTGGATTGCCTGAGCCCGCGGGTTCGAGACCCGCCTGGGCAGCGAGACCTCATCTCTACAATAAATCAAAACATCAGCCGGGCATGGTAGCGCATGCCTGTAATTCTGGCTACTCGGAAGGCTGAGGCAGAAGGATCGCCGGAGCCCAGCAGGTGGAGGCTGCGGTGGCTGGGAGCGGCCACTGCACTCCAGTCTGGGCGACAGAGTGAGACTCCAACTAAAAAAAAATTAATTAAAGCTTATGTATTAAAGGCAACAGACCTTTTAAAAATATTAAAATAAGAAAGACTTGCATTCACTAAGCAGCAGACTAGATATCAGAAAAATATTTTCACTGCAAAACACCCAACTCTTGTGAATATAAATTTTAAAAAATTTAAACAAAATGACTGAATTGGTAGGAAACTAAGAAAAATCCTGAGAGACCAAAGCAGGAACAGGAAATCAAATAGGTGAAGAAGCACTGACTGTCATGTCCTCAAGGTACCTGTTGGGTCCCCTGGTCTTAGTGGCAATTCCAAAAAACTACATCCTCAGTGAATGGTAAATCAGTACAAAATATGAAACTACAGAGGAGAAAATCAAAGAAGACTAATCTGGGTGTAGTCTGAGAAATTTATTTTAAGAACTTGCCTTCATAAAACAGCACTCACATAACTCTAATGCTCAATGCCTAGACTAAATTTTTAAAAATTAAAAAGCTGAAAATTTAAAGTGATCCTGACAGGTAATGTCTCTGGGCACCTATGTATATTAAAGGCAAATAATTTCTGGAAGAATACCCCTCAATACAGAAATAAAAATATTGCCAAAGATAAAATTCCATCAAATATGAGATTACAATTTTTAAAAGTATCACAAACAAGCCAACTGAAATAAATAAGTAGCAGGATCAGACCAGCAAAGATTTGAGATAGAAGAATTATCAGCATTAGAATGTAAAATAAGATAGTTAATATGTTTATACACAGAAGTAAGTAACATAAGAATGGAATAAGATACATCATAAGTGATCATGACTATTTGGGAAAAATAGAACTATAGTCATGCAAAGCATAACGATGCTTCATTCAGTGATGAATTGCATATATGACAGTGGTCCCATAAAATTAGAATGGAACTGAAAAATTCCTATCACCTAAGAATAGCCATCATGACGTCACAGCACAAAGCATCATTCACATGTTTGTGGTGATGCTGGCATAAACAAACCTACTTTGCTATCAGTCATATGAAAGTGTAGCATATATAATTACACACAAGTACATAATATTTAATCATGATAATAAACAACTATGTTACTGGTTTATGTCTTTACTATATTTTTATTGCTATTTTAAAGTGTACTCTTTCTGTTTACACATAGAGTTTTTTTTTTTTTTGAGTTGGAGTCTCACTCTTGTCGCCCAGGCTGGAGTGCAGCAGCACTCTCACAGCCGCCACAGCCTCGACCTGCTGGCCTTCCAAGTAGCTAGAACTACAGACGCACGCTACCATGCCAGGCTAGTTTTTATGATTTATTGTAGAGACAAGGGCTCACCAAGTTGCCGAGGCCGGTCTTGAACCCCCGGGCTCAGGCAATCCTCTCGCCTCAGACTCCCAAAGTGCTGGGATTACAAACTTGAGCCACTGCACTCAGCCTATATATTTTTTAAAAAGCTGTAAAACAGGCCAGGCATGGTGACTTATGTCAGTAATCCCAGCACTTCAGGAGGCCAAGGCAGAAGGATTGCTTGAGCCCAGGAGTTTGATACCTACCTGGGCAACATGGTGAGACCTCATCTCTAAAACCAATAAAAAATAAATCTGTAGAGCAGCCTCAGACAGGTCCTTCAGAAGGTATTCCAGAAGGCATTGTTACATAGATGACAGCTCCATGCATGTTGCTGTCCCTGAAGACCCTGAGACAAGAAAGAGAGGTGGAAGATAGTGATATTGATAATCCCTGTTTAGGCCTAGGTAAATGTGTGTATCTTGTTTCTTAGGTTTTAACAAAAAGGTTTTACAAATAGAATATGGACATAAAGAAGAAAATCTGTTTTCTACAGCTGTACAATATGTTTGTGTTTTAAGCTACGTGTCAAAAAGAGTCAAAAAGTTGAAAAAATTTAAAAGTTTATAAACTAAAAACACTACTGTGAGCTAAGGTTAATTTGTTATTGAAGAAAAAAATTTAGCCGGGCTTGGTAGCTCAGCCTGTAATCCCGCGCCTTTGGAAGGCTGAGGTGAGTGGATTGCCTGAGCCCGCGGGTTTGAGACCCACCTGGGCAGCGAGACCTCATCTCTTCAATAAATCAAAAAATCAGCCGGGTGTGGTAGCACATGCCTGTAGTTCCAGCTACTTGGAAGGCTGAGGTGGAAGGATCGCCGGAGCCCAGCAGGTCGAGGCTGCGGTGGCCGGGAGCAGCCACTGTACTCCAGTCTGGGCGACAGAGTGAGACTCCAACTCAAAAAAAAAAAAAGTTTTTTTCATAAATTTAGTATAGCCTAAGTATACAGTATTTATGAAGTCTGCAGTGGTTTATAGTAATGTCCTGGCCTTCACATTCACTCTCTCACTCACTTACCCAGTCCAACTTCCAGTCCTGCGAGGTCTATTTACATAAGTGCCCCATAAAAGTGTGCCGTTTTTTATCTTTGATACTGTATTTTTACTGTATCTTTTCTATATTTATATACCTAAATGCCATTGTGCTATAATTATCTGCAGTATTCAGTACTGTCACATTCTGTATAGGTTTGTAGCTTAGAAGATATAGGCAATACCACATAGCCTAGGCATGCAGTGGGCTGTACCATTTAGGTCTGTGTAAGTACACTCGATGATGTTCACACAATGACAAAATCACATACCAATGCATTTTTCAGAACATATCCCTGTCATTAAGAAAGGCATAGCCAGGTGCAGAGGCTCAAGCCTGTAATCCCAGCACTTTGGGAGGTGGAAGAGAATTGCCTGAGCTCAGGGGTTCCAGACCAGCCTGAGCAACATGGCGAGACCTCGTCTCTACAATAAATCAAAAAATTAGCTGGGCATGGTGGCACATGCCTGTGGTTCTAGCTACTTAGAAGGCTGAGGCAGAAGGATCACCTGAGCCCAGTAGGTCGAGACTGTGGTGGCTGTGAGTGTGCCATTGCACTCCAGCTTGGGCAACAGAGTGAGACTGACTCAAAAAAAGAAAGACATGATTGTACTCAAAATTAGAACTCAATAAACAAGTTAAGAGCAATTAGTCATATATAAAGGAAAAATTATTAAACTGGAAGAACTCACCTAGAATACAGCACAAGGAGATATAAATGGAAAAACTATTAACACATATGGACATTAAACTGAGAAAGTTCAACAAATATCTATTTGAAGTTCTTTGAGGAGACAATAAAAAGTATGAGAGAGAAACAAAGAAATATCCACTGAGAATTTTTTAAAAGAGACAAAAACCATGATTATCAGATTTAGGAAGTCTTCCATGTCTCCAAAAGGGTAAATTTATACCTAAGCACAGAATTCCAAAGAATAACAAATTTGAAAAACAGCCAGAGGAGTCTCAGCATGGTGACTCATGCCTGTAGGCCAAAACTTTGGAAGACAGAGGCGAGAGGATTGCCTGAGTCCAGGGGTTTAAGACCAGCCTGGGCATCTTGGAGAGACCTCATCTCTACAATAAATCCAAAAATTAGCTGGGTATGGTGGTGCAGGCCTGTAGTTCCAGCTACTTAGAAGGCTGAGGCGGAAGGATATCCTGAGTCCAAGTCAAGGTTGCAGTGGCCGTGAGTGTGTCACTGCACTCCAGCCTGGGCAACAGAGTAAGACTCCAACTCAAAAACAAAACAAAACAAAACCAGCCAGAGGAATAAAAACAACATCAGCTACAGAGAAATGACAACTAGATTGGCAAGTGATTTTTCAGTAGTTTACAATGGAAACCAGAAAGGCAGTGGAATAATGTCTTCAAAGTGTTGAGAAAATAATAGCCACTCAATAATTACACATAAAGAAAGAACCATTTCAAAAATGAGAACAAATTAAAGGTATTTTTCAGACAGACAGAAATGGAGTGAGTGTGTTATCACCAATAGATCCTTACAAAAGCAATTGCTGGCTGGACATGGTGACTCACACCTGTAATCCCAACACTTTGGGAGGTGGAGATGGGAGGATTACTTGAGCCCAAGAGTGAGACACCAACTGAAGAAAAAAAGAAAAGCAACTGCTAAAAGGTGTACTTGAGGAAGGAGGAAAATTATTTCCATCTTCTTACCTTGCAGTAGACTTTTTCTGAATCCTTATTTCTAAATGCTGAATCTTTATTTTTAAAAATAAATACTGAAATATTTATTAAGTATGTAATACAGATTCAAATTAATTCATAAGAGGAAAGGATAAGTGGTTGGAGCATCAATGAAACAAGATTGGCATGATCTAATAATTGGTGAAACTTGGTGATAGATATAAGAGCATTTGTGTATTATTCTGCCTACTTTTGTGAATGTTTGTAGTTTTCCAAAAATAAAAATCAAATGCGTCTAAACTAAACTCTCCAGTAGAAAATCAAAATATATTGTCAGGCTAGAATTTTTACAAATTGTACTCTATTTTATTTACAGGAACTAGATCTAAAATATAAGGACATCTAAAGTTTGAAAACAAAGGAAAATTTACACCATGAAAACAAAAAATTTTTAAAATTAATATAGTTAAACTTTGCAAAATATAAAACAGAATTAAGATCTCAATCTAGATATATGAAGAGTCATTAAAATGATTAGAGATTCAATTAATTAGGAATATATGAAAAATTTAAACTATATGCTAATTAATATAATTTCAATATTTCTGGGTAGGTACACTGTGCAAATTTTTTCAAGTATTTCACATTCTAGGAAGAAAATTAACTCCCAATTTCATATACTAAATATGAGAATTTTTAAAAAGCAAAACGTTTATAAATTAGTATATATATATATATATATATATACACAAATACAAAGATATGCTATACAAACATGTGCTATATAAATAAATATTAAATAATATATACTTTACAGATATATTCTATATTATATGTATCACAAATATATAAACTATATTTATACTATAAATATAGATACTGTATATATTATTATACTATACAAATACAGATTTGTTTATGTATACATCATACAAATATACATACTACAAATATCTGTATATTATATATTATATATTATACAGATATATACTATATGAAAAATATATATAATATATGTTTAGAAAATTTCAGGACTACAAAAAACAGTTAAAATGTATTGAATTCTTACTATCTAGATACTCTTTTATGTGCTTTGTTTGTAATAATTCATTTAATCATCACAACTATAAGTAGGTATTGTTATTTTTCTAATTTTACAAATGAGAAAACTGAGACATGGAAAAAAGGAGTGACTTGCTCAAAATCTCTTAACTAGTGGCAAAATATCATTATATATATATCTTCATTGACAAATATCTATTTTTATGTGACTCATACAATTTTTTTCTTTTTAGTTTTTAGTTTATGGAAGTTATTTCTCAATCATTGCTGGAATTTTCCTACTGAGAAGCTTTTATACAATCTATTCAGCCGCACTTGGAAAGAAAAAAAGTAGTCCCATAAGTGATCAGAATCCAGATGAATTGGGGGGATCCGTATAAGCACAGAAATGCAATTTTAGCCTGGTCTCAGCCACCATGGATTGAGAGGACAAGCTACTATGACTGAAAATATATGGTGCTAAACTATGTGGTGTTTTAGTGTTTGGTCCTATATTAAGGTACCATGAAAGACTAAGCCATAATGAACCCCATCAAAACCACATCTGAACTTCAGCTGTTGGCTAGTGAACTGGGCATAACCAAATGATTTAATTGACCAGATTGATACAAACCATCTATATGATCTTGGTGAGCAACTGGAACCTGAAATGCTGTTTCATCACATTCAAGTCCACCCCCAAAGCAACATGGAAATTTAAAAAGTGGAACCATCTAAGAACAGACACAAGAAATATTCTGGAGTGGATAATATATCATAACTTTCTGTGCCCTACCTCATAAAAGTATGATTTGTTTTGATTTGAACAATAAATGAAGAAGTGATAGTGTAGATCTGACACATGGTAAGTGATCAATATGTGGTAACCATGATTAGTATAATAATATTGTATACCAGCATAAAAAGTTAGAATGGGAGCCAATACTTAATTCTGGCAAACTGGGGGTAAAGAATTAAGAAAAAAATTTAAATAAAATTTTTTCATTACCTTGCATAGAAAGACCAAATACTACAAAGATTTTAATTCTTCTCAGATTAATGTAGAAGTTTATTAAATTTTTGATGGTCAATATTAAGTGTCAATTTGACTAGGCTACATTTCTTCATTTAATCAATCGAGCACCAACCTACATGTCTTCATTTAATCAATCGAGCACCAACCTACATGTTGCAGTGGAGTATTTTGCAGGTGTAATTAAAGTCCATAATCAGCTGGGTTTTTTGTTTTTTCCTCTTTGACAAACTTTATTAAATGCTGCATTGGTATGGAATATCTCTTAATGCATACTAGAATCCCAGGATTCAGGGGAGTGGTAAAGTGGTAATGGTGAATTTAGGTATCTGGTCTCCCAAAAGTAGCTGCCACTCTACCCCTGACTCTGCAGTGGCTGCCCAGGGGATGACCCCGCCACTGGAGCCATCCAGCTCCATGGCCAAAGTGAGAGCATTGGCAGTGAATTGCAGACACCCTTCCTTGGTCTTGCCTTGGTAGCGTCGACATAGCCATAGATATAGGAACTCCCAGAGCTTCCAATGGCAAAGGACTGCCTTACCATCATACCAGCCATGGGCACTGAGTACACCTGCCCTCCTTCTTGAGGTTCCCAGCCCGCGAAGATGATTCCTGCCATTGAGGCCTTCCCGGCATCAGTAACACATCTCCTTAAAGAGGCTGGCTGCCAACCGGGCTCGGTGGCTCAGCCTTTGGGAGGCTGAGGTGAGTGGATTGCCTGGGCCCGCAGGTTCAAGACCCGCCTGGGCAACTTGGATGACACCACATCTCTATAATAAATCAAAAATGAGCCGGGCGTGGTAGCACGCGCCTGTAGTTCCAGCTACTTGGAAGACTGAGGCGGAAGGATCGCCGGAGCCCAGCAGGTCGAAGCTGCGGTGGCCAGGAGAGGCCACTGCACTCCAGTCTGGGTGCCAGAGTGAGACTCCAACTCAAAAAAAAAAAGGCTGAGGCGGAAGGATCGCCAGAGCCCAGCAGGTCGAGGCTGCGGTGGCCGGGAGCAGCCACTGCACTCCAGTCTGGGTGACAGAGTGAGACTCCAACTCAAAAAAAAAAAGGAGGCTGGCTGCCATGAGTACCAGCAGAGGCTCATTCCGTTCAATACTGTGAAAACTAAGCTGATAAGTGACAGTATCAGCTACTGACCGGGGATCAGCTGCTGAGCCCGAATGGCAGCAGAAAATGTGGTCGTGGATAGTAGTCAGTTTGTCAGTCACTCGGCTGGCAATGTAGGACCCAGTGGCTGTTCTGGAGTCAGCCCCCAGAGCCACGCCCCCGTCAAATTGCACGGCCATGATAGTGGTCCCTGTGGAGACTTTCCGGTTTTCCCAGTCTGGAGCGATGGCCTCCCGCCCCAGGCCGGTGCTGACCCCACTCCCTGCGCAGCTACTAAGGTGGTCGCCATCTTCCTCCTCCAGTGCTGTCTCAAAGCAACTCAATCAGTTGGTTTTAAATATGGAAGATAGGTTGGGCGCAGTGGCTCATGCCTATGACCCCAGCACTTTGGGAGGCCGAGGCAGGAGGATCACTTGAGTTCAGCAGTTCGAGACCAGCCTGAGCAATATGGTGAGATCTTGTCTCTACAAAAGAAAATACAATAAAATTAATTGGGCTTGATAGCGTGAGCCCAAGAGGTCAAGGCTGCAGTGAGCTGTGATAGTGCCCCACATTTGAGCCTTGGTGACAAAGTGAGACACCCCCTACTCAAAAAGTTATTTTTAACAGTGATTTTTTTATTTTGGAGGATTTTTTTCAATGCTTTTGCTCATTTCATGATGGGTGATTTACGAGTGTATCTGCTCACATTGTGCTGAGTATTCAACAGTTTTTGGCCAAAAATGGCATGACCCTCAAACCCCACCCTCCCTATTCACCAGATCTCACCCAGAGTCACTTTTTTTTTTTTTTTTTTTGAGTTGGAGTCTCACTCGGTCGCCCAGACTGGAGTGCAGTGGCCGCTCTCGGCCACCACAGCCTCGACCTGCTGGGCTCCGGCGATCCTTCCGCCTCAGCCTTCCGAGTAGCCGGAATTACAGGTGCGTGCTACCACACCCGGCTAATTTTTTTTTTATTTATTGTAAAGATGAGGTCTCGCTGCCCAGGCGGGTCTCGAACCTGCGGGCTCAGGCAATCCACTCACCTCAGCCTCCCAAAGGCGCGGGATTACAGGCTGAGCCACCGAGCCCGGCTTTTTTTTTTTAAATTTCCCTGGATGAAGAAAGTCCTCAAAGGGAAATGTTTGCCAATGTGGAAAAGGTGAAACAAAACACAGAAGCACTAAAAGGCATAAAAACTGACAAGTTTAAAAACTGTTTTGAGCAGTGGATAAGCATCTCGATAGATGTACTGCATCAAATGGAGAGTACTTTGAAGGTGATTGAAGTTTAAACATGTCAGAATAAATACACTATTTTCTATAAATAAATTCTGTGGAGTTTTGGGGGTCCTTCTCATATCTCTTACTAGTTCTGTTTCTCAGAGTGAACCCTGACTGACATAGATTTAACCACTTAGTATGTAGTACTCCTTTTTTGAATGACCCATTGGTCCTGGTGAGCTTAGGTGCCTGGCAGGAGTGGAAATACCATATTGTTATGGTTCAAGTTCCGAACTGTGAGGGGATATACCCATCAGGGGGCAGAGATGTTATGTGCCACAAGTAGCCAAAATGGCACTGCCTATAATGCATTCAGTGGTGAGAACCAGGCTCGTTGGCACCCAAAACGGGGTATTGACACCACTCAAAGACAGATAAGCACCATCCATTACCATGTTTGTCCCCAAACCTCTCAATGTCACTAGTTTAATGTTTCCCTTAAAGAAACCCAGAAAATATTGTCATTTGGACTCCAGTATCCAAGAACCCCAGAAAAGCCTGAATTATTCTTCTTTCTTTTGTTCTTTTTTTTTTGAGCTGGAATCTCACTCTGTTGCCCAGGCTGGAGGGCAGTGGCACGTTCACGGCCACTGCAGCCTTGAACTGCTGGGTTAAGATGATCCTTCTGCCTCAGGTTCCAAGTAACTGGAACTACAAGCATGTGCCACCACACCCAGTTAATTTTTTATTCAATGTAGAGATGAGGTCTTGCCAAGTTACCCGGCTGATCTTGAACCATGAACTCAGGCAATCCTCTCACCTCATTCCCCCAAAGTGCTGGGATTATAGGCATGAGCCACCGTACCCAGCCTTCCCCTTGTATCTTGACAGGAATACAGGGCCATTGGCCTCTGGTGGACACCTGGAGACCTTGGCCCCATTCCTGTGCCATTCAGCCTGAGACATCTGGAGCTGCAATGTCCCTTTATCAAACAACACAACAATCAGGCTGTATAGATTTCTCTGAACTATCTCCCTGACTGTCCTTTAGATAGCGAGCCTCCCTTTCTGGGACAACCCACATGATGCTGTTGGTTCCCTCTCAGATGACTCAGGATCCACCTCCCTACCCACCTCCTCAGCTCTCCAACCTTAGGAATGAATGATCTCATTAATGCCCAACAGCCAGGGGATCATGTATTCCTTTCTCTCTGCCTCAGTCCATGCAACCAATTCACTCACATTCATGGGGTTGGGTAGGCAGGGTGATTTATGTCCCCTTATAACCCCTTCTTGCCCGTGAGACATCCAGCTTTGTTGTCCAACCATGTGCCCCCAGGCTGATGTCTAACACTCTGCTGGGTACTCAAAGGTAGCACTCCTCCTGCTTCACCATGGTTCAGTCAGACTGGATCTTGTTTGCTGCATCCGTTTTCTTGTTGGGGGGAGAGGTCGGAGTCTCACTCCATCACCCAAGTTGAGTGCAGTGACACACTCACGGCCACCGCGGTCTTGATCTGCTGGGCTTAGGCAATCCTTCTTCCTCAGCCTTCCAAGTACCTGGAACTACAGGTGCATGACCAGCTTTTTTTTTTTTTTTTGGAGTGGTTCACCCTTGGGAGGCCGAGACAAGAGGATTGCCTGAATCCAGGAGTTTGAGATAATCCTGGGCAACTTAGCGAAACCTCATCTCTATAATAAATCAAAAAATTAGCCGAGCATGGTAGCACGCACCTGTAGTTCCGGCTACTTGGAAAGTCAAAGAGAAAGGATCGCCTGAGCCCAGCAGGTCAAGGCTGTGGTAGCCGTGAGTATGCCCCAAAAAGTGATTACCCTGTTCCTTTTCATTAAATTGAAGCAGTTGAAAAAAATAACTTCCTCTCCCCAAAGCACATTGAAAGCCCCTTTTCCCCAGGATTTCTTTTATTAGGCCTTGATTTCAATTCTTTCTTTTACTGAACATAGTAGAGAAGTCATTATCTTAAAACACTTCAAATGTCTTCCACTGAATGTTGCAGTGTACTGAAAAAATTGAAAAGAAAACTTCACAAACAAAGAAAAGAAAGAGAGGAAGGAAAAGGTGGAACATATCAATAAAAGAAACCAATCAAAACCCATCTGGGGCCTAGTCCCATCATTAAATTTTATATTTGGTGTTGGCCAGAATGCCCGAAATTGGCATGTGGCTCTGTTGCTAAAGTGCTGTGTTATCACACATCCATAAAACAGGGACCATGAATCTCCAGGGAGGAAGAAACAGTGGGGTCGTCTTCTGAGGCAACGTGACACATCACTGAGAGAGAGATTGGTCCCCAGATGCCTGGCCACAGCCTCCTACCTGACCCTTTGCTTCACTGCTACCATGGCAAGTGTTTCAAAGACTTTGTTGAAAGATAAAATATCTCTTAAATTTCCGAACAGAGCAACCAGAATTCAGTGTGGACAAACAGAACAAAGGCAAAAAGAGGACTTTTAATGCATATCTAGCTTATTTTATTAGAAAATTTGGACAATGTTATAGGATAACTAACAACACAAAAGAAAAACACAGAAAGAAAACATTGCATGCAGATAGGGAAAAGTGGAGGGAAGATGGAGCTGAAAGGTGGTGAGTGTGCCCGTCAAGCCAACCATGAGGAACTGTGTCTTCATTCCACTGAGGTCAGTGACTTGCACTGTTCCTCAGGTGCTAGGCTGCGCTCATAACTTTTCCATGAGATGGTTCCTATTAGTTGGGAAGCTTTTCAGATGGAAAGATGTGATACATGGAAGAAAAACAGGAACGGAGTTCAGGATCCTGGAGTGGGAGAGACCAGACAGAATCAGAAGGATGGGAGTCTTACCAACAGGATGGCTACCTGCGGCCCCTGCTCAGAGGTGGCGCCCACCTAGCAGCAGCACTGCCTCTTGCAGCAACATTTCTGCTGGCAGCAGCACTTCTGCTGGCAACAGCCCTTCCCACAGCCACAGCCACACGAGCCACAGCCGCAGGTGCGGCGGCAGCAGCAGACCACGGGCGTGCTGCAGCAGCCCCCACAGCAGCCGCGGCAGCAGGGGCAGCAGTTGGAGCAGCAGCCCACCCGGTAGCACCTGCAGCTGGTGCAGCTGCC